GCGCGCCCCTCCCCCCATAGTTTCCAACCGTCCCCTGGGCCGCCAACAGTGAGCATCAATTTAAGTGAACAGTTCGTATTCCTAATGACAGTGTCCCCAGACCCCTGCCATAGGAAATGGATAGGCCCCTGCCTCTCTCTGGGGGTTGTTTCTGTCCTTGAAGCCCAAGCTGCCCCTCGCACTTGAACTTGGAGGGAGGAGCAGGAATCCAGGGGGCCGCTTTGTGGGAGGGCCCCAGGTGTGGGGTCACGGGGGTGGGGGGTGGAGCCCGCTGCCCTGCACCCTACAAGGGAAGCCTCTGACGCCTCTGCTTCTCCAGGTGACTATGGCCGACCGGGCGGCAGCGGAGAGGGCTTGCAAAGACCCTAACCCCAACATCGACGGCCGCAAGGCCAACGTGAACCTGGCCTATCTGGGCGCCAAGCCGAGGAGCCTCCATTCTGGTGAGAGGCTGTTTCCCTTCCCAGGCTTTTGTCAGCTGCTATATTCAGCACTGGTATCTGCCTAGTGACACCCCCCCCGCCCCCCGCCCTGCCCTGCCCTGCCCGCCCCAGGAGTGGCAGTCGGCTGTCATGTGCTTGCAGAGCCATCACAGGACAGTCATCCCCTAGCTTGGGAGCTGGACCCCTGCATCTAGCTGGTCTAGCTGCATGTGCCCATAGGACGGGGTGAGGAGGGTGCGTCACCCAGTTGTTAGCTGTCCTCTCAGGAGACAGGAAGTTGGTCTCTGGGACCTGAGGTCAGAAGGACCAAAGCCTAGAGGCTGCTACCCCCCAGGTCCCTTGACCTGTTCAGCTGGGAGCTCTGGTGTTCACGTGGGGGTAGCCTGGGAGGGGCAAGGAAGTGGATTATCCTTTTTGGTTGGACTTCTATCCCTGGTGAGGCCTAGACCCTAACTGGTCTCGTTGTAGGTTTTGCCATCGGTGTACAGCAGCTGCACCCCACCTTGATCCAGCGGACCTATGGGTGAGTGGACTGGCTCGCTGGAGACAGGGGTGGGGGGTTTCCTGGGCCTCCCAGTGTGGGTGCCCATTTCATCCTAGGACTGCCAACCCCACTGCCTTGGTTGTGCCATCAGCAGCCCCCTTTCTGTGTCTAGAGAACCATTGGTCATCTCCAACTTTTCAGAAACATGATTGTGTTTTTGGGGTGGGAGAGGGTGGGGACAAGCTGGGAGAACTGAGAGAAGACAGGTTTCAGTTCTCCACCCCTGGCAGAGGCCACACCTCAGAGAGTGGGGAGCATGGGCTGGAGCCTGCAGCCTGGGTTCAGATCCCGGCTTCCCCCTTACGAGCGGCGTGGCCTCCAGCAGCTGACAGAGGCGCCTCTGCCTGTTTCCTCACCGCGCAGTGGGGACAGTGAGTGCCGGCGTGAGGACCGTGTGGCTTGGGGCGGTGAGTCTCTGGAAGTATTGCTAATGTTCTTAGGAACTGGCGAGCTGGGCTCTTCTCGGGGAGCCCCTCTGACCTCCAGTGCCCAACAGATGGTGGCAGTAGGTCACTGCCAGCCGGGGTGCGACGTTTGTGAAGCTGGAGCAGGTGAGCCAGGATCAGGCCAGATGTCCCTGCCCCAGCGGGCTGGCCGGTGGGCCTTCTGTCTGACATGCTTTGAAGCAGCATGTCCCACCCTCCTCTGTCCAAAAAAGCCCCCCCCTTGGCTTTTTTTCTTAGAACATATAGTCCCTGGCAGCTGCTTGGGGAAGGACATGCACGCTTCAGGGGCACAAAGGAGCTTGCTATGCCGTCTGACTTTCCAGCCCCGTGATTGACGGCGGCTGTGCGCCCTGTGCAGGGAGCTTGGTGTTGGGGTTGGGAGGTTGTTTCTTTGTGGGAGGCGGGAGGACCGTTGCAAAACAGGCAGCTCTTTTTAGAACATTAGCACTTCTTAGGCTGTTAGAGACCAGTTGTGCGCATTCGTGTGTGCCCCTGCCCTGGAGAGAGGCACGGTGTGAGGAGCATCCAGGCGCACTGGGGCAGGCCGTGTGGACCAAGGACCAGAGCAGGGATAAAGCCAGGCTCCAGTGGACTGCGCAGGTCAGCCAGATGACGGGGGAACTGCTCCATGCCCAGACCGGGGATGCCTGCACGTGGTTTCGGTGTGGATTGCACATGTGTGTGAGCTCAACTCCAGTCTGCCCTCCTTGGGGGGAGCCTGGAGGGTGGCCGAGAGCAGGTGGTTCTGGGTTTCCTGCGTAAAGGTCTGCAGCTGTCTTGGAAGGGTTTTGGAGACACCTCAGTCTTCCTGCCATCACCTCAGGTTCTTCCTCTCTGGGGTTCAGGCCACACGAGGAGGGCGTTCCTCATTTTCATAACCCTGGCTATGTTCCCGGGATCCACACCAGGTGCCCCGGGGCAGGGCCAGCTGCACAAAGATCAGGGCGTGAGCCTCAGGCACATGCAGCTCTTTCCTGCTTAAAATGCAACAATGCCTTCCCCACCCAAGTCTGATCCATCGCAGCTGTCTCTGGGACTCTAGTAACTGTCGGTGCCTGGTCTCTGGATCCTGCAGACCCATGTTCAAATCCTGATTCTGTCACCAGCTGGGTTCATCTTGGCAAGTGATGTCCTCTTCCTGAGCCTCCAGCTTCTTCTGACACGGTGCCGGCACGTGGGGCTGGGTGCTCCTGCCACATCTCTCCTGTCCTCACGCCCGCCCTCTGAAATGGGGATTGATACATCCTCTCTTCACAGATGGGGAAACCGGGGCAAAGAAAGGTTGAGGAAAAGGTTAACAACCGGTCTAGGGTGGCTAGAGTGGCAGGATTTGAACCCAGGCCAGCTCTAGAATCCACACTCTCAACCCCTGTTCTCGGGTGGGGGTGGGGGATGAGAGGGATGCCTGACCTTGCCCCTTGGGGTCCCCAGAGCGTCACCCCTGTGAAGGTAGTTGGGGTCGGTCACAGATCTTGCCGCCATGCGTTCCCCACCTCAGGTGACAGTGTTTTGTAACTGAATCTGCTGGCGGGCCATTTAATACCTGTGACGACGGGGAAGAGGCCTCCAGCTATTTGTTGGTTGCCAGGGGGTGGACACCCAAACAGGGACAAGGGATTAGAAGGACTGTCCATTGGCGGGTTGACTGAAGTCTCAGAGTCTCGCCGCCTCCCCCCGACCAGGCCTTGCTGAGGTCCAGGCCTGGGTGAGGCCCTTGGGTGCGTTGCCCAGGAGAGGCGGCCGGCTGGGCTGCGGGGTCAGCTGCCTCTCCCAGTGCCCGCCTGCCCGGCCGGGAGTTGGGCTGTCAGCGTCCCTTTTGTCTTTGCAAACAATCGGGCTTGGGAGTGTGGCCGGGCCTGACTCAGCGGTCAGTTTTGTCAGCTCCGGGCTGGCAGCGAGGCCAGGCCTGTTGCTGGCTGAGGGCACTGTGGGAGCCGGAGCCCGGGCAGCTCAATTTGTAAACCGGTTAACCCCTCCCCTGCCTGGCTGGACTTCCTGGTCCCCATAGGCCCGGATACTCGAAGGATCCCTCGGCCCCGCTTTTGGGCAAGGCTTCTGGAATTCCTCCCCTGGCGGGGCCATACATGTCAGTGTGGAAAGCGTCACCAAAGAAGTAGGTTGTTGGGATCTTTCAGGACCTGACTCGCCGACTGCATTTCCTTCATGTACCCACGTATGGGACCGAGGCCAGGTGACGAGTGGCTTGATCAAGGCAGGAGCGCGTCCCTTTGCTGGCTTGTGGTACAGTAAGCCGGCTGCAGGCAGGAGTGAGGGTCAGAGCAGTTTGGAGAGCCTTGGGTGTCAAATGGTGTTTGTTCACGCTTAGGCCCAAGGCCTGCCAGGATCTGAGGCTGGTCCTGGGCCTGCCTGCACTTGGAACACCCCCGGGTTATTTTTGAAGGGCCAGCTGCTTCCCTGGGCACAGCCTACCCGCCCCATTCTTAAGAGGGCCATGCTGTGGACCCCACACCCGTTTTCCATGAGCCCTGCTCTGTGCCAGGCGTGGGGCCAGGCCCTGGGGGCCCAGATGACAACAGGTAGTCTTGGGGCAGCTGGGTGTCAGGTGTGCTGGGTGCTGGAGCAAGGACCCTGGGTCTGCCTGGGTTCGAGGCCAGGCCAGCCCCTTCTCTCTGGGTTCTTCTCCCCGTTTGGATGGTGGGAATGCCTCCCGGCTGACTGAGCGCCTGTGTGCTGAGCAGTCAATGGGGGCCTGGCCCATGGGAAGGCCTGGGATTTGTCAGTGACGAGTCGCACAGCAGCCCTTGACAGGGTGTCACTCCAGCCTCCAGTGCAGGCACCAGAGGAGAGACTTGTCTAAGCTCTCACAGTGTGGGTGTGGGAGCCCTAAGTTAGGGGCTCCGACACCCTGGTTCCTTCTGTGAGGCCCAGCCCCTCCTCTGGCCAGCCTTGGACAAACCCAGACTCCCTGGGACTGACAACCCCATGGGACCTTCTCCCAGGCATTGCACAGACCTCCTGGCCTGTAGTGTCAGGGGCCCTGCATCTCTGTGTGGAGGTCCCCGCTGCCCACGTGGAGACCTGCAGCCGCGAATGTGCATGTGCAGGGTCTGCATGGAGCGCCCCACCACCAGGACAGGAGAGGGGTCGGGGGTGACGGAGATGTGGAGCGCTCGGGCCTGGGCCGCACGCACAGGGCCGTTCCCAGAATCGTTCATTCATTGAGTGCTTGTTGAATGCCTCTTGTATGCCAGGCCCTGTGCCCGGACACTTAGAATAAGAAAGACCCGGTCCCCATGGCAGGGGCTCACTCCAATGGGGTAGCCAGACTCACAAAGCCAGCATGGCACGCGAGGGCCCGAGAGCTCCTGGGGGTGCAGCTGTGCAGGGCGTTCCTCGTGGGCGGGGCACAGCCCTGCATGGGCTGTGTGACAGTGTGGGACTTACACACCAGGACACGTCAAAAACTGGTGAAACCCCACCAGGCCTGGAGCCTGGTTAATAGTCGTGTGTGTTGGTTCCTGGCTTAGGTAACGCGCTGGGTTATAAGACCTCACATCGGGGGACCTCTCTGTACTATTTTTGCAACTTCTTGGGAGTCTTTCACTATTTCATAATATGAAGTAAATAAAGCTGGGGGAGGGGAGGGGCCGTGCATTGGGGAGTCAGTGCCTTGAGGGCACAGAAGGAAGTGAGGTCAGAGCCAGGAGCTGAGGGCGCTGGGAGGAGGTCCGTGCCCTCTCCCCGCTGTGGGGCATCACGTGGCTTGTTTTTACTTTCAGGGTGTCTGGGTGACTGGCACTTCCTGTTTGTCACTCCCTGGAGTGAACGGGGGCGGCGGGTGGCCCGTGCACACCTGCTGTTTGTCCCTGTCTGCCGTAACAGAAACCAGCCTCCCGTGGTTCTGGGGTTCCTCTGGGAGGAGGAGCCCCTCGCCCGCCCCACTGGTCCGGCAGGAGAGCCCCTTCTCTTGCTGGAGAGCCTCGTCCACAAGCCTCAGCCCAGGGGGGAGGCCAGGCCACAGACAGGCTGATGCAGGCTCCACATGCCCGCAGAGGGGGAGTGGGCCTGGGTGGGCCAGCCCCTTCATGCCACAGCTGGGTGACGAGTCTGAAGGCCCCTCTTGACTTCCTTGTCCTCGTGACTTTCCTGTTGAGCCTCAGTTTCCCCATCTGCCAAGTAGACATGACAGGTGCTCTGCAGCATGCTGGGGCGTCCGGTCATCCTCCCGACCCCTCCCGTGTGGTGCAGGAAGGAAGCCGGGCGCTCAGTCAGCCAGTTCATTCAGCAGGTACCCGCTGGCTCTGTGCCAGGCTGGGGGCGCCGTACGCGTGAGACGGCTGGTTCCCTGCTGTGGTTACAGAGCATTCTGCCGCAGAGTGGTCCTGGGGACGGGGACAAACGGAAAAGGGAATAATCGTGTCTCTGCTGGCAACAGGCACTGTGGGGAAAAAGGAGCCCCAGGCAGGGGAGGAAGTGGGAGGTGGGTGTGCAGGGCCCAGCAGGGTGGCCATGGGGCCCAGGGGAGCTTTGGGGATTTACTCTGAATGCCAAGGTGGCCCTGAGCGATGAGGCCGGGTCACTTGGTCTGTACAGTGCCCCTCTGGCGGCTGGGTGGGCTCGGTGCCAGGCTAGAGTGGAGGGGGTCCAAGTAACACATCAGGCTCGCGGCCATGGCGGCTGCTCCGAACAGCGCAGGGGTGAGAAGGGTGGGATTCTGAATACATTTTAAGGGATATGTCAGAGAAAGAGGAATCCGAGAAGATTCCAGAGCTTTGGGCCTGAGCAGATGGGCAGAAGGTCGGGTTGGTCTTGGCGGTGAGGGGAGGCTGGTGAGGGTGCCCTTTTGGGTGAAGAGCAGGGTCTGGTGGAGATGCTGTGCCAGGGCCTGGCGTGGTCCCAAGAAGGGCATCTCGCCCGCCACCCCTCGCATTTGCCTGTTGTCTGATGGCCCCAGAGAGCCTGGAGTGCCCGGAGACCTGGCAGGGCCTGAGGTCACGTCTCCAGAGAGCAGAAAAAAGTGAAACCAGCCCATTTGCCTTTTTTATTTTTACTTTTGGAGGTAGCTTTGCATTCAGAAAACGGGTCCTCCGGACTGTGGCCGAGTGCTTTTCTCTGCGAGTTTTGCTTTGAGTGTTGGGAGACTGTGGTTGTCTGGCCTGTGGTCGTGGAGGTGAGAAGTCCTTGTATTTGCCGTCACTTTGTAGTCTCCGGCAGGGTCTCGCCTCGCTGTGGTGCTAGGGAATTCTCGGGCGGGCCGGCCTGGGAAGTGCAGATGTTGGCAGCACCCCTAGCTTCCACCCACTGGATGCCAGCGGCACACCTACGCGACAGCCAGAATGTCCCAGATGTGGCCATGTCCCCTGGGGGCAGGCACTGTGCTGAGAACGCTGTCCCAGGGGAGGGTCTTGGTGCTCACAGCGAGCTCTAGGCCATCCTTCTCAGGACCCATTCCACAGACAGGAAGAGCCCCAGACTGTCCCCGTGCACAGCTGGGGGCGGTGGGGGGCCTGCCTGGCGGGCTCTGCCGCCCCCTCGCCCCTCCCCTCGGCTCGTCTTGTGTCCTGGGCCTCCGTGCAGCCGGACAGAACCACCAGGAATGGCCGTGTCTTGGACAGGTGCTCATGGTGCCCAGGCTGCTCCCATCTGGGTGGGCCCTGGAGTGGGTCTGGGTCCGCACCCCTAGCCCGCCGCCAGTGCTTGTGGGCATAGGTACCAGGCGGCGGACAGACGGGAGCAGACTCTGCTTTGCTGTGCCCTGGCTGTGAGACTGCACAGTCACTCAGGCCTCTCTATGAGCCTCAGTTTGTCTCTCTTGGAAATGGGATAACAACAGCACCTTTTCCATGGCTATGAAAAGCTTTGTAAGCTGCCTTGGTTTTCACATACTGAGTGGTGGGGCAGAGCACCTGAGGGAAGCAGGTAAATACATGCAGACAGTATCCCCAAGGGACAGGAAACGGGGTCCCTTTACTCCCCAACTTGAACATTGGTCACCCTGATGGTGTCTGAGTGCTGCCAGCAGGGCAGCTCCGGTCGCCGGGGCAGAGCTCTGGTCCTGACACCAGTGGGAGGAGGGGGTGTTGAAACCTGGTAGATGTGACAGCTGCCTGAGCCGGCCGTACCTTGAGACAGGTGTGGCCATGGTGAGCCTGTCATTGTAAAGCCCCAGGTACTTCTGCTGTGGACAGTGTGAGGCCCTGGTCTAGGCAGTGGTTCCTGAGTGCGGTGCGTGGTAGAGTCTTTGGGGGCTGTCAGTTGCAGGGTCCTGGACCCACCCATCCACCTTCAGGCTGTGAGGATCCATGTTTTTAGCCAGTACGTGGGGTGTTGGGGTAGGGCCATCGCTGCCTGTGCCTGGAGAAGTTCTGGGCTCAAAGCTTCCATAACCTCAAGTTAAGGAATGTTCTGAGGTCCTGGAAGGTGGGTGTGGACTCCTGATGATGGCCAGGATGGTGGCCTGGTGGGCACTGCCCCACGGCATGCTCTATTCTGTGTCTGTTTGCTCCTTCCCAGGAGGCCTGAGGGCCGCAGAGCCCCGCACCTGTCAGAGGTGAGTGCCTGAGGGCTTTGGAGCTCACCCCTCCAGCTGCTCACTGGGATTTGGTGAGGGAGAGGCCATGGAGCTCCAGCTCTGTGCAGTCGCCCCTCCAAGAAGCCTCCCCTGAGTCTCAGGACTGGCTCCCGGGTTGGTGTGTGGTTGTGACTCTACCCCTCCTGGAAGCCAGGCCCCAAGAGGCAGGGGTTGTACGGTCTGCTCAGCACGTCCTGGCCCGGAGCCCAGCCTGGGCAGGGGAGAGCCGAGGCGGTATTCGAACCCAGCCTGCTCTGTTCAAGGTTCTCATCCCCATGGGGCGGGCAGCAGAGGCTTCTGAAAGAATTGGGGGGAAGCTGGCATCGTGGCCCAGAACCAGGGATCTGGGCGCACCTGGGGCATGGGGGCCAGGTGTCCCCCAGACTCCCATCCCGCAGGTGTTTGCTGCTGGTCCGGGGGCCCCCAGCGCTGTCATTCCCGTCGGCTCTGCCCACGCCGCGTCCAGCAGCACTGACCCCCGGTGCTTTGCTCCTGCTCAGGTGCCCCTACCTGTGTGCTCTAGGTGGTGACGTCCACCTGACCGCGGATCTCATTTGAAGGCGTTAAGCCCCTTTACAAAGGTGGGCAGCCATCACCGCCGTGTGTAATCCGGAATCCCCCTCACCCCCAGGAGACCCTGAGCAACCCCTGCACCCTCCCCTGCACCTCCCGCAGCCCCGCAGCCCAGGCTCCCTCCCTCTCTGGATTCGCCTGTTGTAGGTGTTTCCTGTTGATAGAATCGCACAGTGTGTGGCCTTTTGTTTGGCTGGTTTCACCCAGCAGTGTCCTCAGGGTTCATCCAACATTGTAGCAGCATCAGCACTGCGTTCCTTTTTGTGGCCGAATAATATTCCGTGGCCTGAGCCACCACAGCCTACTTACCCTCCCCCCACCCCACTGCACAGACACTTGGGACGTTTCTACCTCCAGGCTGTCATGACTCGTGCGCTTTATTCCTGATGACACGCGTGAATCCATTCGCCTTCTAAGGATGTTCAAACCCACGTGTGATCCTGAAGCCCTTTCCAGCGCATCAAAACGTAATACCGTGTAAAGCTGCTGTCAGCCAGCTCGTGCACCCATGAAAATGGGAGTTTCGCGCGGTTAAGCCTCACCTGTCCTTAGCATGTGTATAGACACACGTTTGTGTTTTTAGCATAAACACTTTCACTATTTAGCGTAAATCCCTCCCTTTTTCATAAACAGCAGCTCTGTTCTGCCGCTCGGCTCTCTGTCCTGACGTGGAGGGGAGAGGCGTGGGCTGAGTAGGGACTCGTCTCCCTGCCACGTGTGGTGTGGTCTGGGGGACGTTGGACTGCCTTGTCCGCAGGGCACGATGGGCTTTTCTGTTTTTTTTCATCAGTTCTGTGGGTGCTGCTGTGCTGTACTGAGTGCGTCTGTCTTCACTGCAGAGTGAGGGCTTCTCTTGGGTGCAGAGGGAGCCTGCCCAGGGGACGGAGCACACGCCCTGGTTGGCCCGCTTGCTGCCCAGTTGCCCTCCAGGCCGCTGTCCCTGTTTCTGCCCTGCCAGGTGCACGAGAGCATCCAAGGGTACATTTCCCTTCTCCTTTCAAAGCAGCTTCTCTTTGGAGCAGGGGCAGCGCAGGGATCCCGAGCCCATCTCACAGTGCAAGGAAGTTGGGGTCCCACCTCACCCCCTTGGGGGCCCCATCCTGTGTAACTTGTGCTGGTATGAGGAGGAGGAGAAGGAGGAGATGCCTACAGCCGCATTGTCTACCCCATGAGGCCCCTCTGTGTCCAATGAGCTGTGAGGCTCAGAGCAGCTCAGCCACTTACCCAGGGCAGCCCAGCGGCTGGTTGGCAGAGTGAGCACATGCTGATGCTGCCTTTCCTAGCCTCAGTTACTCATCTGCGACATACTGAGTTGATCCCTACCCTGGAAGGCCGGGTGTGCAGTGGCAAGGCCTTGGTGGGACCAGCATGTGGTTAAGAGGGTCTGGGGGTCTCGGCCCCTCCTCTCCGTCGCCATGGGGCCGTGGGCCAGCTACTGAGCTCCATGTTTCTGTTGTAAAACGAGGTACCAATGCAAAGGCTGACCTGAGGGCTGGACCTCACGGTCACCACAGGTCAGGGGTGCTAGGCAGTGCAGCGCCAGGCTGTTGGCTGCTCCTTCCCGAACCTCACCATCGTCATTGCTGCACGCTTTTCTGCTCATGTTTATGTATTCATCCACCCTGCACTCACCGGGCTCCTGGGAGCCAGGCCCGCTGTCCTTGAAAGAATGAACACCCCCGAGGGAGCTGACACTGGTGGGGAGGGAGACGTGGTAAATTGGCGCACTGTAGGTGTCCGTTGTGGGGGGCAGATGCTGGGAAGGTGAACAGGGAAGACCGCGAATATAGGGCGGGCTTCATGGGCCAGCAGCCTGGGCAGTCACATGGTACCCATGCGCAGAAGGGCCCGAGCTGGCCTCGATGCCTGCTGTCACCCTCCTAGGATTCTAAATCACTTTCCAACATGGTCCCCCAATCATGTTGGTGGTCCTGTGGGGTGCAGGGTTGGGAGGGGTGCCTGGGAAAGGACCACTGAAGTGGGCGTGTTTGCATATAAACTTGGAGGAGGGGAGGGTGGCAGGCACAGCCAGGGCACAGGCCTGCACAGTTGACGTGTTCCAGCCACAGAAAAACAGACGAGACAGGGACACAGCGGCACCCGGCTCTCCAGGTCCCACCTGGAGCCAGCGTGTTGCCTCTTCCTCAACCCCTCTGTTTGGCCCCACAGGCTGACCCCCCACTACATCTACCCTCAAGCCATCGTCCAGCCCAGCGTGGTGATCCCGGCTGCCCCCGTCCCATCTCTGTCCTCGCCGTTCCTTGAGTACACACCGGCCAGCCCAGCCTATACCCAGTACCCACCAGCCACCTACGACCAGTACCCGTACGCCACCTCGCCTGCCTCCGTCACCAGCTTCGTGGGCTATAGCTACCCGGCTGCCGTGCCCCCTGGCCTCTCGGCCTCAGCCCCAACGGGCACCACCTTTGTGCAGTACCAGCCTCCGCAGCTGCAGCCTGACAGGATGCAATGAGGCCACTGCCCCCTCGAGGCCCGTCACCCACACCCACCAGGCAAGTGGCCGGCCGAGCTCGGGGTGCACACCAGCACCTGTGCCTCTGGGATCCCGCAGGACCCCCACCTGCACCCTGGGTAACCTGGAGACCAAATCCCTTTAAATCCAGGACCCCACACATCTCGAGGGAGGACTTTGAGAGAAAGAGTGGGCAGGAGCTCTAGAAGGTGCAGCCGGACCTCCCCGCGCACACACCTGCCTTCTCCCTTCACCTCCCTCCTCCCCTCCCGCCCGAGCTCCGGGCTGAGGTCTCCCGGCATCTCCTCAGCATCCGTGAGGCCTCCCACCCTCCACAGAGCCCGGGCACCCTTCAGGCTCTGTGGAAACTGTCCTGCTCAGAGATGCCTTACTCCAGGGAAACCTGAAGGAGCACGTGAATTGACTGTTTATTGTTGCTCCGTCCACACAAGCTGTGAACGCGGGAGACCGTGTGCGGGAAGCCACCTCGTGGAATTTTCGTTTCTGGTGACGGCACGGGCTCTCCGCAGGCCCCGGGGCTCAGTGCAGCAGGGCCACCAGCCGGCCGCTCCCCAGCCCGCCGAGCGCTGCAGCCTTTTTCCTTACCGTCCTTGTTTTGCTACTAAGATGTTTCAGAACTTCAGTTTATTTTTTCAGCGGAGGCTCCTGCCCCCAGGAAAGCGGAACCTGTTTTTGACTTTGAGACTCACTTATGTCCGTGGCTCCGCCCAAGGAGACGGACAGCATTTCTGTTTGAAAAAGTGTCTGTCGCTGGAGCACCAGGAGTCCCTCAGAGGGCGGGCGTCTTCAGGTCTCTCTCAGCGACAGTAAGTTGTCTCAGAAGCCTGTCTCCACCCCTGCTACCCCTGCAGGGACAGAGGGAGGGGGCCCTAGGTGATGCTGGCTGAGAGCGCCCCCACCCTCTCTCCTTGGTCCCCTGTTGCACCCCAGCCTGGCTGAGACCAGCCTGGCCCGTCCTGCCTGCCTTGGGCTCAGTGCAGAGGGAGGCGAGAGGCCCAGCACGCAGCGACGGCTCCTGAGGAGGCGGGAGGGGGAGGTGAGGGGCAGCCTGGCCGAGGGGGTTTGGGGAGAGTGGACAGAAGGTTAGGGGGCGCTGGGGGTATTCCTTCAGACCTACCTCAGGGAAGCGGGAGGCCTCAGGGCTGACTGGCGCAGGCAAGCGCTTTGCGGTGCGCTTGGTCCGCAGTCAAGTCCCAGGAAATACCGGTAGCTAATGTTATAATAATATTTTTATTAGAATGTTCTGATTATAAAAATAAAACTCGTTTTCTTTAAAGAGAAGCTGGTCTGTAATAATTCTCAACGTGGGCGCCTTCGATTCCCTGCACAGAGTGGTCCTGAGCAAGTCAGGGCCATGTGGTGCCAATCACACCCGGGACCCTCCTGGCCGGGACTTTGACCTGTTCATGGAGTGTCTCCTGAGCCGGCCTGCAGGCATCCAGAGTGCTGGGACAGACACAGCCCCCATTACCACCTGCTGAGGCAGGAAG